AAAAAAAGTTGAAATAAAGTGATTAAACAAAAATTATTACAAATATCGTAAATAACAGTTCACAAATGCATATATAGAGATATTTTTTGAAGGGGGAAATGGTCTTCACAATTTGAAATCGATCGAACACACTGTGCGCGAATGCTCGTGTAAACGCGCGCCATCTATCGTAGGATAAATGTACTTCGCGGGAGTGTATTAAAAAATTAAAAAAACTTTCCAAAGCTTCATGGCAATCGTGCTATGCCACAAACCTTCGCTGGAGTATATTAAACAACTTCCCAAAGTTTCACGGCAATCGGATAAACGGTGTGGTAATGCATGAAGGACACATACACACACACAGACATACATTCATTTTTATATTTATATAGTATTTAAATGTCATTAGATAATAATTTTTTATGATAGCATTTTTTTTAGAATAAAATTATTTTTTAACAATAAAAATTAAAAAGGTGCCATTTTTATTCTTGGCCATAGGTGTCCAAAGGTAGCCACCACGCCAAATTTTATTACTTAATCTTATCCCATCGTGACATATTAAGAAAATTAAATGCCAAAACACACACATACACGTCCAAATTTTTTTGACTGTTTTGGATTCAGGAGGTCTCAAAACATTGAGATTTGCAACAAACTCAGGAAGGTCAAATTTGACACAATTCCATTACTTTCTGTTGTTATGTATATATATAACAACTGGGAAAGTAAAACTGAACTCTCTTGAACAAGCATAAAACCCATACTTATGAAATGCAGCAAGTTTTTGCAACACTACCACTTACTGCATCACACTATCTGAGTGTATATGTGCAATATATGTGCAATGACTAATTCAAATAGTTGTAGTTCATAGTGTCTTTTTCATTTTAATTTTGTCAGAAATCCAACATCTTGGAGACTTGACATAAAACCAAACCTGAATGTGAATGAAAAGAAATGCATTAGCCAGCATTCTTTCATGATGCAACAATTATCTGGTAAAGATCAACATACCTGTTGTGCTCCTCCATCTTACTCTCTGGACATTGGAACCAGAATAAAGTCTAGTGGAGCCAAGTTTAAAACAACCTTGAAACAATATCTTCTCTGTGGTTTGGAGATGACATAGCAAAATCATGAAACTTACATACCTTTCTATAAAACACATTCCAAATCATGGAAGAATGGTGATTGAGAGTAGTTTCACCAGTAAAAAAGACAGTCTAATAAACTTTGTCTTCTTTTGAATAGCCCTTGTAAATGCAAAGTATGATGTGGACAGGATAGGATTTTTTTCTGTAATTCCAGTCAATTTGTTTGGTTCTGTTATATATATATATGCTTGCATTTGATGTTTTTATGAACAAATGCAGATGATGAGATCCAGCATATCTAGAGCTAAGAAACATTTCTGAAAATCTATTCCAGACCTGAATAAAATGCCTGCTTGCTTCTCCAAAATATCTGAAGTCTCCTCAGTCATCTTCCCCATCATAACCAGTGTTTCTATAAGCTTAAGATACCTGATGGTTTCCTTGTTGTACAATCATTAGTATAAACAAAAATAAAAGCAAACACAAATATACAGTTTATTTTGCTGTAAATGCCAAGTTTTCCTCTGACATTTTTAAACTAAACTACATGGTGTAGCTAGAAAATAATGAGACTGATCGCCAGCACAAAACGGTTGTATGTGGGCCAAAGTAAGTGAGTGAGTGGGTAGGTAAATGACCTTGAACAAGTTAGAACAAGCAACTAGTCTGAACTCGCAGCAGGTGCTACAGCTATTAGATTTCTGTGAGTGGATATATTGTTAGCGTTCTTCGGAAAAATGGCCAGCTTGAAATCTGAAATTTTTGGTGAAATTGAAAAAGCTGCCACTGAATCTTTGTGCCTGCTACATGAGGCATACAGTGATGCATGTCAAGTGAGTTCAAATGGCACAGATGATTTTCTGAGGGACAAGAGGATGTGAAAGACAATAAACATTCTCGACGGCCTAGCATGTCAAAAACCAAGGAAAACATAAAAAAAGTGGAACAAATTATGAACCAATACTATTACAAAGAATATCTGGAATCTTTGCAGGAAAGGGTCAGAAGAAAGCAGCAAGACTTGTGGCAAAATGGTTTCATCCTCCATCAAGACAATGCACCAGCCCATTCCTCTCTGTCAGTGAAGCAGTTTTTGACCAAGAAGGGAATCCCACTACTTGAATACCCACCATACTCATCTGACCTAGCTGTGTGTGACTTTTACCTTTTCCCTAAAGTCAAGTCTGTTCTGAAGAGAGACTGTTTTGATTTGGTTTCTGCTGTCAAGAAAAAAATGACGAAGCTTCTGCATAGCCTTAGAGACCCGAAAGGCCCCTGGGTCTAAATTAATATTTTATTAATTAAGTTAAAATATTGTCACCAAATATTACTTCATTTTTGGTGAGAAAAATACTGTTTTAACGTGGGAATAGGCAGATAACAGATGTTACTTCCTTTCACAGAAGAGAACATCCTCTGACTTTCCCTTATCTGGTTAAAATCCTGCTCAGATGGGAAATGGTTACCCCTCATTCATTCCCCTTTCATCCGTTCTCATGAAAGAGTTACTGGCCGATGATTGGTTGAAATTCAGGAGATAGAAGGGAAATTTGTCCAAATTCGAGGAGTTCAGCGACAGATCGGAAAGCGTCCAAACTCCACATACGTTTCCCTCCTGATGACCAACATCCTTAGACGAGTCACTTAGAATAAGTCCGGAGTCTGCACTTAGAAATTATACTTTGATTTTGTGCACATATTGATCTCCCATACGAAGAAGTAAATGAACTTTATCTACAAGGTGTCCCTTACCTACCGAGAAGAAGACGAACGACAACTAAAACAGGTTGTATGTTTTATAACGATTTTGTGAGCTCTCTCTCTCGATCGCTAATTGGGTAGTAGATAAGTATAGATATCGCTCGATTTGTATGTTATTTGTCATAGTTCTGTCTCTCGATCGTCCACATTTTTGTATGAGTTTATTTTCTTGTTTTATTAAATTTATTATTCCGTTTTTAATTGGGATGTCTCTTGTTTGTGTGACCGAATCAGATCGTATACGCGTGTTTGTCCGCACATCGAGAAATTGACAAACTGGTGTCAGCATCCTGATGTAGATCCGAATCTCGCGATTTGGATCATTATTAAAAGCCCTCCCGGTCAAATGAATCTTGACATAAGATCGGATCTCTCGATCCGAAACTCGGAGAACTATTCTCGCGGAATAGTGTCAATTAAGTGTTACACGAGTACTACCTACTCCGTAACCCCGGCTACTCTCACACAGATGATGACTTGCAGCATTCTTATAATCAGTGGAAATTATGAATGCAGCACTATAATGTATGCTGTTTCTGCTTCCACAAAGGGAAACACAACTAAAGTGAGTATACTACTTAAGATTTAAAGTTCCAGCTTCAGTCTCATTATTTTCTAGCCATACCTCATATATGAAAAAAGCTGTATAAAGTCTACAATTGTAGGAAAAGGAAAACAAGAATATGATTACTAACAATTATATTAACAAACTACATTTTGAAAACAAATCTAAAAAAAAAAAAAAAAAAGTTCATCTTCTAATGCCCAAATATTTTCAAGCAAGTCAAGATCATCATCAGGCACCACCTTAACTCAACTTTGACTTTCAATTAAACTCCAAAAGGTATTTGATGTTCTATGCATTTTCAAAATCTTTTGATCTATTTTTTCTTAAAATATTCTAACTATTATGCAGGCAAATTCTACATAAAATATCCTGAAGAAGGGTGCTCTTTTAATCAATGTATTTCTTTTTCTCTTAACATTTTCTTCTCACCTGATTACTCATTTCCATGCTGTTGATAATATATCCCCGTGTCCAATATTAATTACCTTCAAATCTCAATTTTTCTTCCAAATTCATCTTTTCAGCTGTCCTAATATTTTTCCTATCCTGTATTTCTTCCAATAAGCTTGCATCCCCTCCAGTTAATTTCTCAATTGGTGTCCAAAAATAAACTTATATTAACAAGCTGTTAAGTTTCATGTGGAAATTTATTAAGAAAAGAATAAAAACTAACATCAATATAAAAAAGAAGCTGTTATTTTACAGCAGAAATCTTTTTTAACTAATCAAAATTTGAACTAGAAGATTCATGTCAATAATGCAAAATTTCTTAACACTTCAAAATGAAATGTTTCAAGCTTTACTGGCTCATTGCTAGAGGCATAAATTCTTATCACTTCCATTATTTAATAGCATATTTTATCATTAAAAAGAATAAATTAGTTATAAAAAAAAGTTAATTGCATGCTATGCAATTAGCTTTTTTTTTTTTTTTATAAATATCATATAAGCTAACTTTTCTAAAACCTTTTCTTTATGAAATGGTTTATGTAATGCAATCCATATTACATAATTAAATTAATGGTGAACATTAATTTAATTATTCATAAATAAATAAGGTAGCATATTTCATTCTGAGATTCAATTGAAAACATGCTAAAAATATCTTTAAAACATTGATAGATGAATCATTAAAATAAAACAAATGATTATTTTATATTAGTAGCTTAAAATAAACTCTGAAGTAAAGCAAATTTGCCAAGAGTTTAAAGTGAAAATATGAAGAATTGGCAGAATACATTCTGGAGAGGGTTCACATTTGAAAAAAAAAAAAATCACTTTTGGCACTATACCTGCTTTCCTGTATTTACGAAGAAAAATTAACTGCTGTTAGAGAAGCCATTTATTCTGCGGCAACTTTTGAAAAACATATTGAGATATTGTTTCAATTTTATGATTTCAAGATGATAATAAACATCATGATTGATTAGTTTACCATCTTAATGTATATCAACAAAATTAAAAATTTTAATTTAATCACTACACTTTGGTTTATATATATAAAATAAGCATATTTTAGGACATACTTTAGCATTTTCTTCAACTGGTCACTCAATTTTTATGTAAATTTATTTTCTATTTTACTAAATAAAATTTTGTACTTCTTGTTCATAATAATAATGGATAAACATAGATTTATAATCAACTCTTATTTGAACTTACAATTTATTTAAAACAAACAAAAGAATGTGGTGTTTTTTTTTATATCATGAATAATGAACACATTCAGGGTCTTCAAAAATATTAGACACTAATCATAGTTTAAAAACAACAAAGATAGAAATCTTAAAACATAAATATACAATTAAGTTAAATTAAAAGATTATGTTTTTAATATATTTTTAAAACTTTGTGAAATGAAATCTTTATATTGAAATTAGCTTGAATGAAATATTTATTTCATCAGAAATATTATATTTATAATTTATAATAAAAGTATGTTTTCCTTTATAAATTATTAATAAGTAATTCTACAAATCAGATAACATTTTTTAATTACCTTCTGTTTATCCAAAATTTTCATTGCATAATAATCTTTTCCTTCTTTATGTTGTACAAGCATAACACGACCAAAAGAACCTGTTCCTAGAGTTTTTAACCTGTCAAAGTCACTTAGACTTGCAGTGTTCTAAACAAAAATAATTGAATAATTACGTTTCTTATTAATTGTTTAAGTATAAAGATATATTAGTAAAATTCTAATAAACCAAAACTAAAAAGAAATAATAGTAACTGACATTAAATCAATTTACATTCTAGTAAAATTATCAGTAAATCAGTCTGGTTTATAGTAGCATTAAATATTCATTAAAGAAACATATCATATTGTTCTGATTTATAAACATGGCCTGAGATTAATATTGTGTATAATAACTAAAATATCTGTCTAATAATTAAATAAAGAAAATTCATCTAAATTCATTCTTATGATTGAATTAGAAACATTTCTCTAGATATGTTCAGATGAAATTTTTTTTTTAAATTAGATTAGAGTGCATCATATATTTCACAAAGATCTCAAACTTCAACAGCCATAAATTAAAGAATGATATAACTGCTGAACATTCCATATGATTCTTTTGTTTGATATCCTTAGCATAGTTATTGACAGCATCAATACTTATTGATGCTGTCAATAACTATTGAAATTTTGAAATGAAAACATATTTTACACAATATTCAGAAACATAATGGACTGTGTCAAAGGTACATCATCAGAAAATTTCTATGGGCAGATATAATGGAATTATTACAAATATACTTATAACTTCATCAATGTTGAAATGAAAATCATAAATTCTTATTATAGTGTGACCTACAAATATTTTATAATTTTCCATAATTTAGTAATACTTGTCAAATTTAATTAAAATTAAGTCTGTTTTAATATAAATGCAATNGATTACTTTAATATTATGAGATAAAATCAAATTATTTACTCTCCTTAAAACATCCAATAAATATTTTTAGTTGAAGCTATCTTATTAAAAGTGTGACCATAATTCACTATGCAATGAAAGAGCATTTAAGGTTACTTATTTTATTAAAATCAACCTAAATACTTTTGCATATGCAACAATTTTTAAAAAGAAATTTATCTGTTTTGATTGAACTATTCAAAAGATTAATCTTTCTCAATAGAGACTTTGGACAAAGCATTTGGAATTTGAGTTTCTTACATTAACTTCTCATTAAGAGATCTTCAGTATTAGCATGAATGTAAATTGCAAAAATTAAATTATGTTATATATAGTTTTTGTTAAGTTTTACTTTTTAAATACAATCCATTAATGAAGCAGCATTACTAATAATAATGCTAATAACTAATAACTAATGTAATTTATCTTAAATTAGAAAATTTAATATACCTTAATAATGCCTGGACAATTTGGCCCAATTAAACGAGATTTGTTTTGTCGAGTTAAAGCATACTTGACTCTAACCATATCTTGCTGTGGTATACCTTCTGTTATACAAACTATCAATGGCACTTCTGCTTCCATAGCTTCTAAAACAGCTTTGGCAGCACCAGGTGCAGGAACATATATAACTGTTGCAGTAGCTCCAACTTGATCAACTGCCTGTTTATAATATGTAATATCAAAAATTAAAAAATGTTGAAAAGACAAATTATAACAATTGAGATGATGAAACAGAAAACTATCATCAGAATATTAGAGAAACATAATTCAACTCGTCATTTATAAAAGATATGAAATAAATCTAGAAAAAAATTAATCTTCCACCAGTACAACAAAGTAAATCAAGTATTTGAGTAACAGGTATTTGCACATTTTGTATATCATTCAATCACTATGCCGAATATACTTACTTGCATGTTACAACTAACATGTAAATATATATATACACATGTGATAAGCTTAGGAATATTATTTTAATAAATTAAGTTCACTAAAAACTCTTCAGTACGATGGAGAGGTTTCAGTACATCATACCACTAGTTGCAGTTTTACAATCATTTTTTCTTATCATCTGTTGAATAAAATTTACTACAGCAAGAATTCAATGACAATTAATATTGAAATGTTGTAATTTTTACTTCTTAGAATATATATATGAAAACAGAATAAAATAATAAATATCTCATGATAAGAATCAGGTAGCTAATTCAAAAAATAACTCTTCTAAAAAGATATGAATAAATTTAATTATACTATTACAGAAAAGATGCCTAAACGAATCAGGTCATGTAGCATTTATCTAAAAAGTAGGGTAATGCAGACTTGCATTTCAGAGGATGTCCATTCCTATCTGATTATGGGTTTATTTGAGAGATTACAACTTCTATCAAATAACTACTTATGGATGATAATTGTGATAATAAAAGTCATTGCATAATAGTACCTAAATTTAAAACAAATTAATACTAAAAGATGTGGTCCATTTAATCCATCTTTTCTCAAGCCAATGATAGAAAATTCTATGTATACTCACTACAATGAAAATTTTTTCAGTATATATAAGATGGATTTATTATAATTAAAAAAGACATCAAAGTTTTTATAGCAGAATACAAATCCATAATGTTTATAATACTAGTATATGTACAATACACTCAAAAATTTCTTAGATTGCACAGAATTGAAACATATGTGCAGTCAGTGTTCAAGTAATTTATTTTCGGTTCCCATTAAAAGAAACTACAAGTTACCTGAGGTTTACAAATACTTGACAACTTCAGAAACTTTTGATATTTTCATCAAATTGCTAACTTTTAAACAATTTGAAATGATTTGCAATGAAACTTTTGCCCTGCAATAAGACTAAATATTGGGAGCCAAAACAAAATAAATAATATACATATGCATATTTAAGTTATCTTTAAATTTTAAATATCTTTTTACAGGTTTACATAAGGAGAAATTAAAGCTGGATGTATCTGTGATAGTGCCTAGAAAGTAACATTTTTTTTAAACAATGGAAGAATTGTTTAAATAATTCACTAAGAGGTATCAATCATTGAATTCAATGTAGAAATTTTATAGCACAAGATGTAGACAGAAAACATTCTACAAAATAAATTTGCAGTGCTGATTTCATAACTTGTGCAGTTCTATAAGATTTGTTATTGTCAGTTCAACATTTCTTAAAAATTTCTTCAATCTTGTACTAAAGATGCTTTTACCATCTTCATTACAGAGGTTCAGTTAAGCCTGTAATGAAGCAGTCAAACAGTAAGAATGAAATCTAACATATCTAGGCCATATGATCCAACAAATCCTTAGAATACAATTCATATAGATATCATGTATCAAGTCTTAGCCATCTCAGCTAATAAATTTTTGTATTTCATCAATCAATTAAATTCAGCTTCTTTTAAATCAAACAGCAACTTTTAGTAGTATGGAGATCAAAACAACAAAATAGTTGTCATGATCTCCATATTCACTCAATATTGCTCATTGGGATTTTATTATTAAAAACTAAAAATCCAGCTCAAAAGATAATGGCTGTCAGGATACTTTTACTCTAGTAAATAGTTTAAAAGAATTCCAGGAACTGCTTTTTTAAAATAGTGGAGACAGTAATTAAAACAAATTTAAATCCCATAGTTTGGAAATTTTTTGAATTATCTCTTAATACACATGTATTTATATATTTATTATTATTGTCTTGGTAGTGTTTGTTTCATACACAGCATATATACTGGTGCCTAGTACTACAATATAACAGACCAAATTCAGAGCATAGCTACAGATAAAAATGTTTTATGTGTTGTTTGTGTATTATCTGTGTTTAAGAATTTCCTGACTATGCAGCATATATTTAGAGCTTCACAACAGAATATACACTACATAAAAGTCAAAAAAATTAGTAGATACTCAAACTTGCTTATGAAATTGGTAAAAAGAATCTGTGGAAAATGAATAAGATACTTATGATACTTATTGCAAGAAAGGACTATTGACATAATATCACATACAACATACTAATATTTTTACATGTATATATATTTTATGTGTTTGAAACAACAATATCTAAGATGTACAGTATTGTAGATTATTTTGTTTTGTTAGTCAATGAAGATGATATTTAGTCTGTTGTGATGTATTTTGTCTGTAATTACAGATTGGGCAAAATACTAGAGCTCTCCTACTTACAAACATTCAACTTATGAACTTTGAGACTTATGAACAATTTAACCATACATAAAATTCAATTTTATGAAAATTCTGAAGTTCTCGTGCTAATCTTGGGTGGAATTGAAGTCAGTCTTTGGTCATTAATAAATAAATCCACATTAATTATTTATTAAAACTTTTTTATTTCTATTGTGTACTGTCATTTTTTGTTTTCTCATGCATTTTGAGGTTCCACTGCTGCTGATGAAGTGGCATTGAAGTTAATAACAATGAACAATGGAGTAATGGTGTTTTTTTGCATTTTCAAACTATTGCAACTATTGCAATTTCAAACAAAAGTTTGAAATTATAAAACAAAGTAAATTAGATAAAAAACTATTGAAACACTTGCTACTAAGCAGTAGCAAGTGGGTAAATAAGCAAAATGAATTCTATTAAGTAATTGAAAGATCAAACACTTTTATACAAGTAACTATGTATTGTTAATGTACTTCTATGTTTGTTTTCAACTTACGACAAAACCTTGGAAACCTAACCTCTTTGTAAGTAGAGGAGCTACTGTATATTTTGTATTTTTTCTATAACTGTCTTAATTAATTTAAGTATATATTTGTAATGTAATTCCTGGATATCAGGTATTGGAGTACCTATGCATTGGAGCACATGTCCCCTGATTTTGTCTGGGTTGTCCCCTTTCATAATCACAAGGGGACCTCAAATTCAATGATCAAGAAACAGAAAATTCATGACTTCTAGTCTATTCTGAAAATATAAAAGAAGTTAATGAAGAATATTTGTCCATTGTTACATGCAATTATTTTTATATAGTTATTTGTTCATCATATGTTGACCAAAAATAAGCATTATTTGTAAGGACATGTTAGGCCCAAGTGCAACAAGCGTCATCTTATGAGAGCACTGATTCAACATTGAATCGTATAGTTTGAAACTTTTTGCATAATGTATGATGTCCTTTTTTATAGTATGTACCTCTTTCTTTATAGTCTGTAAGTGCTGCTGCTGGGTATTTAGTAGTTTGTGTT